TAAGATGATGATTATGATAATAATAAATGATGATAATGATGGTGATAGTGACGATGATGATGAGGGTGGTGACAACTTTAATTATGATGCTGATAATAATGATGGTTAAAATGTTGAGGATGATATTAATGACAAAGACGATGATGATAATAATGATAAAGATTATGATGATGATGATAATACTCATAATTCTAATATTATAATCTTTGACATTTTACACATATCATACATATCCAGGAAACAGGAATGCTTTATTTATTTCACAATTCAAAATCAAATAAGCGGTCTAGATTTAACGCAACCAGTAGCATAATGCCCATGCGTTCTCGTGTGGCGGTCTGCAGGGCCCCGACCCCTTGTGGCCCCACTCATATGGTCCTCGATCTTTTGACCAAAAAAGGTTTTATGAATACATAATTAATAGCATAATGTATCTCTGACATCGACTGTAGGACATAGGCCTATATCATATGCCTATATAGGCCTATTGTGGAGGATTAAAGGGCGTCCTGTCTGCCCGGAGCCCCAACTAAATTTGTCATTTTTTTTAATGGAGATGAAAATCAAATTATATTACAATTTTAAGTCTGTGGCATCTCCCGCCATCCAGAGGTGCCACAATCATAAACGTTATTAGATCAGCCTCAACCAGGGCTGATGTGGTTTACACTCAATCTCTCAAAGTTTATCCCTGGTCATCTCTATTTAAAATTCCTGGATCCATCACTGATATTATATCATTTTATTCGTCGTTAAAAAAATAGAATAACAAAGTAAACATGAATAAAAAACGAGAAAATCAAAAATTTCACGATGAAATTACAGAATGACACCTAAAAAGGACCCAGCGGTGGCTCCAGAAATTTGCCTACAAGGGGTCTGACATGTCGGACGTGGAAACCGAAACAAAGGGGCCGACTATAAGGCCTCGGTCCTAGTCCAAGTTTGGTAGTGTTCACGGGAGAATTTTCAGAGCTTAGCATGGTCCAAATTGTGCTTTTAGACTACAACGATTGGCAATCAAAATAATGTTATTTGCATACCTTAGGCAAATTAAATATTTGTAAATCTTTCATCCAACGACATCGTTGAGACGTCGGACGAAAAGGGGTCAGGCCGACGGGGGAAATTTCCTTCCCCCTCCCCCGTGGCGCCACCACTGTGGGGCCCAGTCTCAGAAAGCCACAGGGCCCCGACGGCATCGTCACGCGACTGAACGCAACAAAAACAATAAATAGAAATGGATCATATATTATGAACTCACAACTTATACAAAAAACAAACCCAAGTCGAGCAAAACTAGATTAACATTAATAAATATCTACCTTTAAACCGTCTGATAAACACAGGGGATAAAGATGACTTTTTTCTGGGATCAATTTCTGATACAGATGCAGCTGATGTTCCTGCGAGAGGAGATGCGGACGTAGATGGAAATGCTATCCTTCCATGATCAGATGAGGACGTAGAAGCAGTGAAATCGAACGTCTTTGCTACATTCGTAGCGATAGCGTGTTCGCGTATCTGTTTAGTTCGTTCAATCTCTGTAGAATGGCACAGCAATGAGAAGTTATCAAAATATATATATCAAATTGAATTATCTAAAGAGGCCTAAGTATTTATTGTAAATATTTTAAAATGTTCTGAAGGTTGTTAAACGACATTACCGGTGTACATCAAGTTTCTTATTTATAGAATCATACCGTCTACATCTTTCTGCTCCTCCCATATGCTGTAATCCTCACCGACAGTTTGAAAGACAGTTTTAGTTGTAACAATACCATCGGTTGAGGGCTCTTCCTTATCAAATCTATTATTGAAATTTGCAATGTTATAATAAATATAAAGATAATTGAGTCAATTACAGGATCTATAA